AAGCAATGAATGAATGAATAAATAAGTGTAAAGCAAATCGATGTTTTTCTCTCTCTCTCTTCCTCTCTCTCCAGAATCAATGACTATATCCTCAGTTGAGGATTAAATAAATATACATGTATATTTTTAATTAAAGTTTTTGTTCATATAAAGATTCTACTAAACCTGGCAGGTGTAGCTCAGTGGATTGAGCACGGGACTGTGAACCAGAGGATCGCGGTTCGATTCCCAGTCAGGCCACATGCCTGGGTTGCAGGCAGGTTCCCTGCAGGCCAGTTCCCTGCAGGGGATACACTAGAGGCAACCATACATTGATGTTTCTCTCCCTCTCTCCTTCCCCTCTAAAGATAAATAAATAAATAAAATCTTTAAAAAATTAAAAAAAAAAGATTCTATTAAAGGAGTGTGACGGATACAGAAGTGACACTCAGAGCGCCATTCAAGAGATGACTTGCTGACCAGCTTCAAGGAGTGTGGTGGGATAACAGCCTCCACCTGTTAGCATCATCCAGCTGTTGAGCCAAAATCATGCTATGCTGTGGTTCCCCAGTCAGAAACGGAGCAAACTGCGATAGCCAAGCTCACTTTCCTCTTGGGTTGGTTCCCAACCAATGACCAATTGAGAAGGCAGTGGTAGAAGGTATGTACCACTTCTGACCAATGGGGGCGCTCATAATGATAATTTTTTGTCCCAGTGCCCACTTGTTGGCTGGCCAAGATATTTTCAGTTGGAGTTGTTGCCCGACGACAACTCCTGCCCGACCCTACCTCCTCCCTTTTCTTTCACCGGTGTTACTCCTCAATAAAACTCAAATTTTTAATTCCATTTCAGTGTCTGCTTTAGAAAGCACCAATTTGCAAAAGAAATTGAAAAGGTAAGCCACAGAGTGGGAGAAGATATTTGCTGTTTACGTAAACAATATGAGGTTTATATGCAGATTTATAAATAACTTTTAGATAGCAATAAAATAAAGATAGACATCCCTATAGGAAAATAATTAAAGACTATATTTTCCACTCAACAAAAAAGAAATATTTCAGGACATTCCATAGCCTTCCTCAGGTAACTCCACAGCATTGCACTGCATTCCTCACCATTAGGATGCTCTTCATAATCCCTAACTTTAGTCCCTGGTGCCAAGACTTTGCTATTTTGACTTTAGTGGGAATGGGAAAGTCACTGCTTGAATTCTGACTCTCCCAACAACAAATGATACCAGGGGACCCAGCTACTCTTCTGGAAACCAGCAGCTGCACAGTATCTTTATTGGTTGGCCTAATTTTCTAATCTCCCAGAAAGGGTGAAGGATAAAAGGGAAGGTAAAGCTAAGATGGATGGTATTAGATGAAAAATCAGGAGTAAAATAAAAAATAATAGATTTAGGAACTTCTGCCAAGATGGAGGCATAGGTGGAAGCACTGTGCCTCCTCCCACAACCAAGTATAAAAACAACAAAGTTTTAGCAACAAAAACGCAGCCAAAACCACAGAAAATTGAACTTCACGGAAGTCTGACAACAATGAACCCTTCAGCCAAACTGGTAAGAGGGGCAGAGCCAGCAACAGAGCAGGGTCGGGCAGGAAAGATCCACCAGACCTACAGGGGCACAACCCAGGCATGCTGGCAGCCATAGGCGGATCCCAGTTGTGGAAAAGCGGGCGGACTCACTGAGGGCGCGAGGTGGCAGACTCACTGAGGGCTGACCATGGTCACACATTTGCGCGCAGATAAACCAGTGAAGGAGGGAGTGGTGAGACAGATCATGCAGGCCCCAGTGGCAAGAACCAGAAGAGGGGACCGCCATTGTCCCTCTCTGACCCAACCCCCACCTACAGAGTCACAAACCAGTGACCTGGGTGGCCCCACCCTGATAAACAACCAAGGCTCCACTCCTCATACCTAACAGGCACGAACAGATCAAAACATGGCTCAAGAAGAACTTAGAGCCCCAGAGCCGATAAATCTAAGCAATGAAGAAATAGCCACTTTCAGATGCACAGTTCAAAACACTGGTGATCAGGATGCTCACAGAACTGGTTGATTTTAGTCACAAATTAGATGAAAAAGTGAAAGCTACACTAAGCGAAATGAATGGAAATGTACAGGAAAATAATAGTAATGGAAAGGAAACTGGGACTCAAATGAAAGGAGTGGACCAGAAAGAGGAAAAAAAAATGACCAAACAGAAAAGAATGTAGAAACAAGAATTCAAAAAAATGAGGAGAGGCTTAGGAACCTCCAGGACCTCTTTAAACGCTCCAACATCAGAATTATAGGGGTGCCAGAAGGGGAAGAGGAACAGCCACCAGTGGAAAACTTATTTGAACAAATAATAAAGGAGAATTTCCCCAATCTGGTAAAGGAAATAGACTTCCAGGAAATCCAGGAAGTTCAGAGAGTCCCAAAGAAGTTGGACCCAAGAAGGAACACACAAGGGCACATCATCATTACATTAGCCAAGATTAGAATGAAGGAGGGAATCCTAGAAGCAGCAAGAGCTAAGGGGACAGTCACCTACAAAGGAGTTCCCATCAGACTGTCAGCGGATTTCTCAAAAGAGACCTTACAGGCAAGAAGGGGCTGGAAAGAAATATTCCAAGTCATGAAAGCCAAAGACCTACATCTAAGATTGCTCTACCCAGCAAAGCTTTCATTTAGAATGAAAGGGCAGATAAAGTGCTTCTCAGATAAGATCAAATTCAAGGAGTTCATCATCACCAAGCCCTTATTATATGAAATGTTAAAGGGACTTACCTAAGAAAAAGAAGATAAAAAAGATGAACAGTGAAAGGACAGCAAACTCACAGTTATTAACAACCATACCTAAAACAAAAGCAAACTAAGAGGACAGCTAGATCAGGAGCAGAAACATAGTAATGAAGATCTCATGGAGGGTTAGCAACAGGGGAGTGGGAGAAGAAGAAGGGGGGGAAGGTACAGAAAATAAGTAGCATAGATGGTAGGTAGAAAATAGATAGGGGGAGGGCAAGAATAGTAGGGGAAATATAGAATCTAAAGAACTTGAGACACGTGATCATAAACTAAAGGGGGGAACAGAGGGGGGGAATAGAACAACTGTAATGGTATAATCAATAAAATATACTTAAAAAAAGAAATATTTCAATGGCCAACAAGCAAGTGAAAATGTATTTAATCTTACTAGCAATAAAGGAATGCAATTTAAAATCATACTGAGATACTGTGTACACCTAATAAAATGAAAAAATTTTTAAGTCTGAAAATTTCAAGTGTTGGTGTTGATAATAAAAATAAATGAAAGAGCCCTGGCCATGTGGCTTGGTTGGTTGGAGTGTTGTCCCCTACACAAAAAAGGTTGCAGGTTCAACCCCCAGACAGAGCACATCCAGTCAGGGCACATATGCAGAGCAATTAATTGATCGATGTTTCTCTCTCTCTCCCTTCCTCTTTCTCTAGAGTAGATGAACATATCCTCGGGTGAGGATTAAAAATAAATAAATAAACAAATTTAAAAGTGGAATAAGCATTGCTGAGAGAGTCACTAAAAAGAGTTGGAGGCTATGAAGGTAGTGGGGCCTAGGCAGCCTGCCACATCACAGCTGCTATTAAGTTGCTAAACCTGTTGCTAATCTCAGCTCAAGGTCCAGACACAAACTTCCTGGAACAACTGCTGTAGAGACGCATGTAGACTTTAGTTTCTTGCTTGTAGTTTTTGCCTCCCCATTTGCATATTGGAACTAACCAATCCTTGTTAACATAGCCAGCAACTCTTCATTTGCATGAAAGAATTGCATTTTGTAGTTTTTGCCTTTATGAATCCTTCCTGTCTTTCTTCTTCCCAGGTTCAGTTTGGTTTGCTACCTGAATCTGCATCTCTCAAATTGGAATCTTTTTCCTCAAAAAACTTATATCAAGTATAACTTGGAACAGCATTTCCAACAGCATTTTGAAACACCAGCATTATTCAGTAATGTGGAAAACAAACATAGCCCATGACCTAAAAAATCACTCCTACATTCCTCAGAAATATACACGAGGACATCATTACAGGTATGTTTCCAGTAGCATTATTCACCAAAACCTGAAAACATTCCAAATGTCTATCAGTAGTTGAATAGACAAATAAATCATGGTATATTCATGTGGTGAAATATCATATAGCAATAAAACAAGTACTACTATACATGATAGCATGGTTGACTCTCACAAACACAATGTTGAATAAAACAAGATACTCACAAAAAATATGTGGTTTATTTAAGGCAGGCAACACTAAACCGTGTTGCTTAGGAATGAATCTTATTACAGGTAAAACTATGTTATAGTAAAACTAAACAGGTTAGCAAGAATATCAACATAAAAGTCAAAGTAGTACTTGTCTTGTGCTGTGGAGTAGCTATAATTGGTAGGGGCATGTGAATGCTAGTAATGTTCTATTTTGATTTCACCTGGTTGGTATGTGGATGTTTGACTTATGAAATAGTAAAAAAATAAAACAAAAGAAACCTTTTTCATTGTTTTCTTACTATTACAGATGAGCTGAGGCCTAGCAGATGTGAATGAATAGATCATACAAGAGCCTGGGGAAGAGCATTCTACAGAGAGGGTGCCACCAGCTCAAAGGGTTGAGGAAGCAGAATAACTCTTAAAAAATGTTTTAAGATTAAATTTATTGGGGTGACATTACTTTAAGCTTTGTTCAAAGAACTAAATAGGGGATGATTCAAGCACACTGATCAAGGGCCAAGGTGGTAGCTAGCATATGAGGCTTGCATAGCACGAATGCGTTGAACCACGCAGGCCACAGTGAGGAGTTTGAATTTTATTCTGAGGGCAATATAAAGCCATTGATGGGTTATATTCGTTTATTTTTTCATGCCATAAGCTTATTTACAAATACATCTAGTGTGTTGAGTTCAACATTTTGATCCAGTTTTCAGAGAGACTGCAACTCTTAAAATGCTCTTCATATCTGTTCCATGGATTAACTGAAACATCCTTATTTTTTAAGCAGTTGATGTCATAGTATAAAGAAAGGTGCAGTAAATCTAGACCCAAAGTACAAAGTCATCATAGCTAGTAACTGCCACTTGTTTTCCACCGAAAACAGCAAATTCTTCCCTGGACCTTCCTCAGAGTGGCTCCTACAGACCACAGAGGTTGTGAGTCTCCAAATGCTCTGTCCCAACATTTTGCTTTTCAGTTTATGCCCTGTGAAATGGGCATAAACTGAAAGCAGAAAAAATGGCGCTAGTACACTAAGGCCTTTTTTCATGACCTTGTCCGCTTTTGTGCAACTATGGAAAGGGTGATGGGTTTTATTTTTTAAAATATTTTATTTATTTATCTTTAGAGAAAGGGGAAGGGAGGGAGAAAAAAAGGGGAGAGAAACATCAATGTGCAAACAATACATCAATTGGTTGCCCCTAGCATGCCCCCAACTGGGGACCTGGTGGAGAATCCAACCAGTGGCTCCTCAGTTTGCAAGCTGGCACTCAATCCACTGAGCCACACCAGCCAGGGCCATTGATGGGTTTTAAACAGGGAATTGGCATGGCCTGGTTTTCTTTTTTTTTTTTTTCTCTTCCCTTCCCTTCCCTTCCCTTCCCTTCCCTTCCCTTCCCTTCCCTTCTCTCTCCCTCTCTCTCTCTCTCTCTCTCTCTCTCTCTCTCTCTCTCTCTTTTGAAGGTTGTTCTGGTTTAAAACCAACAAAATCAACAACAAAAAACACCCTAGAACAAACAACTGATTACAGGAAGGTAGCAGGATAAAAGGTAATTGCTTTTCTATATACCGGCAACGAGCAATTGTAATTTGAAGTTAAAAACACAATACTACTTACATGAGCACCAAAAACTAAAATACTTAGGTGTACATCTTTTAAGAAAATATGTACAAAATCTATATAAGAAGAACTACAAAACTCTGATGAAAGAACTCAAAGAAGACAAGTAAATGCAGAGATGTTCTATTTAAATATCAAGAAATAAATATAGGAAATTCAATATTGTTAAGATAGCATTTCTTCCCAACTTGATTTATAAATCAATGTATTCCCAATCAAAATCTCAGCAAGTATTTTGTGGATATTGATAAACTAATCTGATTGTAAAGTTCTTATTGAGAGGCAAAAGATTCAGAAGGGCCAACACATTATTGAAGAAGAACAGTCAGAGGATTCTTAAACTGCCCAACTTCAAGACTTACTTAATGTTACAGTTATCAAAACAGTGTAATATTGATGAAAGAATATACAAATAGATTAATGAAATAGAGAGCTTAGGAATAAAACCACACAAATATAGTTCATTGATCTTTGACAAATGAGTAGATAATTCAATGGAAAAAGGGCTGACTTTTCAATAAACTGTGCTAGGACAAGTAGACATCCACACACAAAACGATGAGTCTAGGCACCCACGTTATACCTTTATAAAAACTAACTGAAAATAGATCACTGTCCTAAATGTAAAATACAAAACCATAAAACTTCTAGAAGGCAATGTAGGAGAAAAGTTTAGGTGACCTTGGGTTCAGCAATGACTTATTAGATTAACAACATTAAAAGCCTAATCCATGAAAGAAAACAATCAATACGTTGGACTTCATTAAAAGACACTTTTGAAGGAATAAGACAAACCATAGACTGGGAGAAATCTTTACAAAACACATTTCTGATAAAGGATCGGTATCCAAAACATACAAAGACATCTTAAAACCCAACAAAAGAAATGAACCACACAATTTTAAAAAGGGAAAACATAGTTTAACAGAAACCTCACCAAAAAAGATATACAGATGCTCCACATTATATGTCATTAGGGAATTGCAAATTAAAACAATAAGATACCACTATACACCTATTAGAATGGATAAAATCCAAACCATTAACAATGCAAATGCTGACGAGGACGTGAAGCAATGGAAACTCTCATTCATTGTTGGTAGAAATACAAAATGGTACAGCCACTTTGGAGATAGTATGACAGTTTCTCACAAGATTAAACATTCTCTTAAAGTATAATTCAGCAATGGGCTCCTTGGTATTTACCCAAATGAGTTGAAAACGTATGTCCATACCAAAACCTACACACCAACGTTTATAGAAGCCTTATTTATAATTGCCAATACTACTGGGAAGTAACCACAATGTCCTTCAATAGGTGAATAGATAAATAAACTGTGGGATATCCAGACAATAAAATGTTGTTTGGGAATAAAAAGAAATGAGTTATCAGGTCACAGAAACACTTGGAGGAGCCTTAAATACATACCATTATGTGAAAGAAGTCAGTCTGAAAATATTTCACACTGTAATGGAGCGCAGCGGATTTTGGGGGCAGTGAAACTATTTTGTATGACACATAATGGCAGATATATTTTGTCAAAACTCATGGAATACACAACACAAAAAGCAACTCCTGATGTAAATTCCGGACTTCAAACGAAAAAAAGGTTTTTTGCCAGAAGAAGAACCCCAAGGAGAGCCCATCAAAAAAAAGAAGGGGAAAAAAAAAGAAGACAGAAGGAAAAAAGGGGGGGGGAGGAGGAGAATAATTTCCACTTGCAAACCAGAGCAACCAGGGGCCTCGTAAAAAAAAGTTGGGAAAAGGCCCACAAAACCAGAACCCCCCCGCCGGGGAAAAAAAAAAACAGGCCTATTAATACGGGTTCATCAATTGTAACAAAAGCACTGCACCAATACTAGTATAAGTAATAAAGGAAATTGTATGTGTGGGTTGGGAGGGGGGAGGTATGTGGAAGGTATGTGGGAGGAACTCTGCATTTTCCAATCATTTTCTCCCTAAACCTAAACCTGCCATAAAAATAATCTATTAATCATGTTTTTTTTAAATTAAAGGACATTGAATGGGAGGCATTTTTACATAAAAAGAAACAGAAAGGATTTGTCACCAGCAGATTGGCACTGCAAAATGTGCTAGAGGAAGCTCTTCACCGTGAAGCAAAATGATACCAGATAGAAAGGGGACCTATAGAAAGGAGTCAAGAGCACCAGAAATGGTAAATATGTGGATAAAGATGTTTTAAAAACTGGGGTTATATGTCAATTACACCTCAGTAAAAAAAAATAAGGAAACTGGCAAGGTAAATGAACTGACATGGTGGAGGGCTCTAACATTTAATGAGAATGATGCAGTACATTAACCATAAGTAAACTGTGAAAAGTTAAAGATGAATATTTTCATTCCTGGAGTTACCACTAAAACAATCCTCTAATTGTAAACCTCTAATAATGCAGAGATATAGCTAAGAAACCGAGAGATCATTTTAATTTATTAACGCGAAAGATAAAGAGACAAAAAGAAAAAAGAATAGACAGAGCAGGCTTTGGCCAGGTAGCTCAATTGGTTAGAGTATTGTCCAGATAGGCCAAGGTTGTGGGTTTGATCTCCAGTCACAGCACATACAGGAAGCAACCAATGAATGTGTAAACAGATGAACAACAAATCGATGTCTCTCTTTCTCTCTCTCAAAATCAAGAAATAAAAAGTAATTTAAAAAGTAGATGGGGCAAATAGAAAACCAAGTAACAAGATGGTAGGCACAAATTCAATCATATTAAGCAATTACATTAACTATAACTAAAAGGTAGATCTTGTTAGAATGAATTTAAAAAGAAAACTCAAAATATCTGAGGTATATGAGAGACACATTTTAAGTATAAAGATATACCATGAAATATACAAAGGTATACCATGAAAAATTTAATTTCGAAAAGTCAGAGTGGGTATATTATCATCAGATAAAACAGACTTTAAGACAAGGAGTATTATTAGAGATAAAGAGAAATGTTTCATAATGAGAAAGAAGTTAATCATCAAGAAGTCCTAACAATCAATTCCACGGGAGGTACGGTAAGCACAGGGTGGTTTAGTCAGGGACTTGGTAAACTAGGTGGATTGCTGGAAGAGCCAGTGGCTTCGACCTTAGAATATGTGAATCAGTGTGATAGCACTACAGCTGTACACTTGTTTTGGAACATATGGCCCTAAATTAAGCTTAGATAGTTGGTTTTGCATATCATGGTTTGGTACAGTTTATCTGCTCTGTGTGTCAGGGAACAGTTTGCTTTGTAAGTGCTTGTGGCTGTTCCGAATTCTAAATTGGACAATTTGACATTTATTTTAAAAATATAATTAAGGGGATATGCTGAGAAAACTGAAATTAAGAGGTGAAGGACACAAATGGATCAAGGAAGACTTAAAATTTGTGACTTAAGAAATGTAAAAATGCAAGTGTCATTTATTGGAATGCAGATAGTAGGGTTAGGGCTAGGGTTAGGGTTGGTTGGGGCAAAACAGTCCAGAGTGATGTATGTATATAACACACAACCCTGGCTGGTGTGGCTTAGTGGACTGAGCACTAGCCTGCAAACCAAATGGTTGCCAGTTTGATTCCCAGTCAGGGCCCATGCCTGGGTTGTGGGCCAGGTCCCCAGTAGGAGGCGCATGACAGGCAACCACACATTGATGTTTCTCTCCCTCTCTTTCTCCCTTCTTTCCATTTTATCTAAAGATAAATAATCAATGAAATCTTTAAAAAAATTTAAAAATAACACACAGACACAGACAACAGTGTGGTGATAGTCAGAGGAAAAGGGGTGTGGGGGCAGGTGAAGGTGAGCAGGGGGGATGAGTGGGGAAGGAAAGAGACTCCGTGGCGATGGGTGCACCATGCCGTGTGCAGGTGATGTTTTATTGAGTTGTACACTAGAGACCCGTATGGTTTTGTGAACCGGCGTCACCCCAATAAATTCAATTTAAAGAAAAGAGTTATGTTTTGGACTTACTAAGTTTGAGATGCTTGTTAGTCTTATAAAAATTAATATCAAGTAAAGTGCTGGATATAGAATTCTGCAGTTTGTGGGGTGCTGTTTAGGTGGGAGATAAAAATTTGAGGGTCATCTATATATATGGATGACATTAGATCACCATAGAAGTTCAATGCTTTGACCTTCTTTCTATTCTAATATAAGGCTATATGCTTCCTTCTAGGCACCATTTTTGGTGTGTATTACAAATTCTTACATGTTGTATTTTATTGTCATTTACTTCAAAATATTTTCAAATTTCTCTGATGATTTCTTCCTTGATCTCTGGGTTTCTTATAAGTGTGTTGTCTAATTTCCAAATATTTGACAGTCACCTCCATACAGATGTAAGGATGGAT